TGTGTGTGTGTGTGAGTGTTTGTGCTCGTGTGTGTGTGTGTGTGTGTGTGTGTGTGAGTGTGTGTGTGTGTGAGTGTGTGTGTGTGTGTGTTCGCGGAGGATCCTCCAGATGGTCTTCTCTTAACTAAGGAGTTTCTCGTGATGGATCCGATCGGCAGGTGAGAATATTGATCACCACCAGATGATCATGTCCTTGTTATTTGTCGTATTATTCTGTAAATATCATCGTTTTAAAGCGAATCAAACAAACCGCATACAGTTCAGCTCAATAATGTGTCAAAAAGTGTATAAATATGTAAATAACAGTGAAGTGAAGAGGATTATGGAGTGTTTTATCACTGAATGAACATGTTTTAACCTTGAGTCCTGACTGTCAAGGTTTATTTAGTTAATTTCGGTTGTAAATGATGAGATCAAAATCTAAATTCCTGCAATCACGTTTATATTTTATTATGGTTTCAACTGCATTTTGTGAAATCTGACAAATCCTCCAATTACAGTTCGATGTTACATTTTAGTTTCATGTCAGATTTGACCCAAAAAAACCTAAATTACTACACTTGCAGTTTTTTTGTTTCATTTTAGTTTCTTATGAATTCACATAATTCATGAAGTCGAGAGTGTTTTTAATGGAGTTGACCCTGTGTTTGTGTTGTGTTCCAGAGGCGTGTGAGCGCTCATGCGTGTGCGTGTTAGTCGTGTTGATGGCCTCCGTTATCGTCGCTCTGCTGTTGTTCGTCACACAATCCCCTTCGCTCGCCACCGCTGACCCCCCCGCCAACGCCTCGCGCCGCCTGCCCGACATCATCATCATCGGCGTGAGGAAGGCCGGCACGCGCGCTCTCATCGAGATGCTGAGTCTCCACTCGGACGTCGCCGCGGCTCAGAGCGAGGTGCACTTCTTCGACTGGGACAGTCACTACCGGCGCGGCGCGGACTGGTACGTGTCCCAGATGCCGCTCGCTCGCTCGGGTCAGCTGACGGTGGAGAAAACCCCGGCGTACTTCACCTCCGCCCGCGTTCCTGAGCGCATCCGACGGATGAATCCCGACGCGCGGCTGTTGCTGATCGTCCGCGAGCCGACCGAGCGACTGCTGTCCGATTACACGCAGGTCTTCCACAACCGTCTGGAGAAACGCAAGCGGCAGCAGACGCTCGAGACTCTGCTGATGCGCGACGGAGAGCTCAACCTGGACTACAAGGCCTTGAACCGCAGTCTGTATCACGTCCACATGCGGCGCTGGCTCGACGTGTTTCCCAGGAGCCGCGTTCATCTGGTGGACGGAGACGCGCTGATTAGAAACCCTCTTCCGGAGATGAAGAAGGTGGAGGAGTTCCTTCATCTGGAGCCGCAGATAAACTCCTCCAACTTCTACTTCAACCAGACCAAGGGCTTCTTCTGTCTGCGCGAGCGCCGGCGCGAGCGATGCCTGCACGGCTCTAAAGGCCGCAAGCATCCGCGCGTGGCGCCCGCAATCCTGCGCAAACTCCACCGCTTCTTTCACGAACCCAACCGAGAGTTCTTCCAGCTGGTCGGAAGAACCTTCGACTGGAAGTGAGAAGCGTGTGAACGAGTCAAATAAGCTGAAAACACAGAAGAATTGCTCCTGAACTAACTGGAACATCTCGAAAGCCGTAACATGAAACAACCCGTAATGTGATGAGTCTGTTTTCAGAGGTGAAGTGAGCTTTTCTTATGATTAAGAGATTATGAAGTTTAGTTTTTGACGAATCGTTCACAGTAAGATCAGGATTAGTGGTCGACCCGATATATCGGCCGATATTTGGCATTTTTCAAATATCGGCATCGGCCGATAAGTTTCTCTGGTTGGCCGATGTGTTCGAGGCGGGACTTTTATTTTGTAGCGAACACTTTTTTCAGAGGTGAAGTGAGCTTTTCTTATGATTAAGAGATTATGAAGTTTAGTTTTTGACGAATCGTTCACAGTAAGATCAGGATTAGTGGTCGACCGATATATCGGCCGATATTTGGCATTTTTCAAATATCGGCATCGGCCGATAAGTTTCTCTGGTTGGCCGATGTGTTCGAGGCGGGACTTTTATTTTGTAGCGAACAAGAGGGAGAATGTGAGCAAATGTCGTCGTTCAGTTCTGTCTAATAATCAGATAGAACTGTTAAATAAAGGAATTAAAATGTATACAAAAAAGTATTATAACGATTGCTTTTATATTGTTAGTAATATAAAGGCAAACATTATCATTTCAATTTCAATTTATTTATAAAGCACTGTGCTTGTGTATCCTGCATGATGGCGTGTTCTCTGCGTGACGGTCGGTCCGTGTGAAGTAAACACGGACAGGAGGAGAGTTAAGCTTCACTGAGACGCGCGATCGACAAACTTTAAACTAGTGATTTCAGATTATGCTGCGCTTTATGCATTTGCCATATTCATGTCATTTTCACTGCGTGCTGTATGTAAAATGAGTGTCACCTTGGCTTTATTTAAAAAATAAAAAGATTTCTAATGCACACAAACTTCCCAGAACACCGAGTGCCCTGTTGGTTACGGTGTTTACTTCCTTTATAATTAGATTTTTATTAAATATTTATTTATTTATGAAAAATGCTTTGTCTTCTAAAGTATACATATGTTTATTTTACACAATTATTTTTCATACATTTTCAAATGATTTAAAATTTCTTAAATATAAATGAAAATAAATCAAATTATATCGGCTTTATATCGGCTTTCCAAGATATCAGCATCGGCTGACAGAAAACCCATATCGGTCGACCACTAATCAGGATGTGAATGGAGTTCGCTTTCAGAGCTGTTAACAAACCTTATATTCACATATACAGACATATGCATGTGAAATACATCTGTTTATACGTTAATGCGTGACAGTAATCATCCAAATACTGTTTTCCTGCTGCTAAGTTTATGAATGTGTGTGTGTGTGTTTGTCTTTATATCAGTCTGTGTTACAGAAAAGTTCCTCCTTATTTTCATGATTTAGTCTATGCATTCTGATTATTAAATGTTTTATATGAAGGAATCATTCAGTAATAAAGTTATTTTTGCTATGATCTGGTGTTCTGTGGGTTTATGTCACTCCTTTGCTGACTCTGTGTGTGTGTGAGTGTGTGTGTGTGTGTGTGTGTGTGTGAGAGAGTGTGAGTGTGAGTGTGTGTGAACTCTGCTCATGAATACATTGTTTCGCTGTTGCCGTGAACTCGGTTTAATTCAGTGTTTTATTGGCAGAACTCGACAGTTTCCAGAGGAACATCAGAAGATCTGTACAGTTGATTCTTTGTGTTCTTGTACGGTTTTTCTCCTCCTATTTCTCGTTAGTCATTGTGCAACTCAAAGAGTTCTTCATTAAAATCATCTGCCTGCAGTGTTTGAGTCTGATCTCAGAGGTTGTTTCGTGGTGTTTTATATTGTGTGTGTGTGTGTTTCTAGTGATCGGTCCAGATGAATCAGATCTGCATTTTTACATGATTCACTGTCCATAAGCTCAAAACTCACAGCTGAAATGTGTTAGTTACCCCTCTCTCTCTCTCTCTCTCTCTCTGTCTGTGTGTGTGTGTGTGTGAGTGTGTGTGTGAGAGAGAAAGCGAGAGAGTGTGTGTGTGTTTTATTATATTATTATTTATTTGTTTAGTTTGTGCATTCTATTATCTGTGTTTTTGGACCGTGGGTTTCAGTTTGATGATATATATAAACTATAGAAGTCTGTGCAATGACCCCATTTAGATAAATGTGTGTGTGTGTGTGTGTGTGTGTAATTACTGTTATGTTTATTGGTGTGTGTAGTGCTGACTCTACTGCTGTGGTAAAGTAAGTGTGTGTTTGTGCGTGCACTCAGAACACACTCGCCACAAACCCGCGTGTAACGTCACAGAGACATCAGCAGCTCTGGATGATGTGGTTTTCCTGCTCATGTTTGTCATCATGGATCGTTCAGGACAGACTTCCTAAAGCCGCTATCCCATGATTCAGCATTAAACACTCACTGCATTTATTCATGTGTCTGAAGACTCTTCTCACTGTTGAATAAACCAGCATATATGATGGTTAGGCATGTTTTGAAGCATGGCTGCTGGTTTAAGCTGGTCCTGAGCAGGAGCTGTTACTCAGGAGCAGCTTAAACCAGCTCAAACCAGCAGCCATGCTTCAAAACATGCCTAACCAGCATATATTTATTCAACAGGGCTGCATTTATTTGATCAAAAACAGAGTAAAAATAGTGAAATACTATTATAAATTAAAACAGCTGTTTTCTATGTGAATCTCTGTTAAACTGTAATTTATTTCTGTGTATTTTCAGCATCATTACTGCAGTCTTCAGTGTCACATGATCTTCAGAAATCAGTATAATATGCTGATCTGCTGCTCGAGAAACATTTCTGATTATTATAACATTGGGATAAGATTTTTCTTAACTTTTATTCCAGGATGCATTAAATTGATCAAAAGTGACAGTACAGAAATACAATGTATCACGGATTCCACAAAAACTATTGATCAGCACAGCTGTTTTCACCACTGATAATGATTGGCAAGGCAAGGCAAGTTTATTTATATAGCACATTTCATACACATTGGTAATTCAAAGTGCTTTCAGTTCGGACGTAGCACAGTGCTCATTCAGTAAATGCACAGCTAAACAGAAGAGCTTTGAGTCTGCATTTAAATATGGCTAATGTTTTAGCACATCTGATCTCTTCTGGAAGCTGATTAGGATCGAGTCAGTTAGAAACACCAAGGGTTCACACAAAACAAGGGGAATGTGCTTTTAGTTATTATGCCGCCCGCAGCTGGAATCAGCTTCCAGAAGAGATCAGATGTGCTAAAACATTAAATCACATTCAAATCTAGACTCAAAGCTCATCTGTTTAGCTGTGCATTTACTGAATGAGAACTGTGCTACGTCCGAACTGATTGCACTAAATGTTATGTATAATTATTTTCTATTCTTAACTGTTTTAATTTCATTTTAAATCTCTTAAATCAATTTTTAAATCATTTTCAAAGTTTTAAATTCCTTGATTTATTGTTGTAATTATTTTTTAAATTTTTTTTCATTTATTTTATGTAAAGCACTTTGAATTACCATTGTGTATGAAATGTAATATATCAATAAACTTGCCTTGCCTTGCATTTTGTCTCAACAGCAATATTAGTTTGATGTATAGCAGGCCGCAGATTAGATAAGTCAGCCGTACGGCTTGAGAAGGCCTTAGACTTTCTATCACGTGATAAAACAGAAATAGAGAAAACTACAGGCACACTGGATTCCCTCTAGTTCTGTAAACATTTGTGAATGTTGCTGCTATTATAGCAGACATATCACTGAGAGCTGTTATCAGTTGTTTTTGGTTCACCTACAGCAGATGGAGGGGTGGAGCCCATCCAGTTTAAACAGTTGTCTATGGCCCCAGAAAAGATTGAAGTTGTCGATGAAATTGACTCCTTTTAAGCTGCAGATTCTTTGTAGCCATGTGTTCAGCCCAAAAAAACAGTCCTTGCAGTCTGTCCTTACACTGGAGGATTCAGTTTTGACATTTAACATTACGAGGTCAAAAAGTACAAATATATGCATGGATGAATCGTTCATAATATGATCAGTAACATGCATTTAGAAAACAGAGGAATTTGTGGTTCATGCTGAATTTAATAGAGACAGTGACACACAGAAGCGTGTTGTGATTGTTATGATATGTTATACGTGAATATTAACGTCGCCATGGAAACATACGTGTCTATCCAACATCTGTTCACACACACTCACACACACACACACACACACACACACGCACACGCACACGTACACTCACACACACACAAACACATAGTGAGTCTTCAAGACATCTCTCCTCCATCAGCACTGAAGGATGATGCATGAGTTACTGAATCATCTGACAGAAAGTGTCCGAGGAACTCACTCAGATTAAACTCTGATCTTAATGGTTGTGCGATTGTTCAGGTTCATTTGTTTCACATCATTCACCAGCAGAACCTGAACCGGCATCACTGCCATTACGCCGCACACAGGGTAATTATAGAAGCAATGATGAGAACCACTTTTAGCAAGTGTGTGTGTGTGTGTGTGTGTGTGTGAGAGAGAGAGAGAGAGAGAGAGAGAGAGAGAGAGAGAGAGAGAGAGAGTGTGTGTGTGTGTGTGTGTGTGTGAGAGAGAGAGAGAGAGAGAGAGAGAGAAGAGAGAGAATGTGTGAGTGAGTGTGTGTGTGAGAGAGAGAGAGAGAGAGAAGGAGTGTGTGTGTGTGTGTGTGTGTGTGTGTGTGTGTGTGTGAGAGAGAGAGAGAAGGAGCGTGTGTGCGTGTGTGTGTGTGTGTGAGTGTGAGTGTGTGCGATTTTGTATAATGACATAGGTATTACAACGAGAAGGTGACTTATGAAGACATTACCCCATGTCCCCACTTTTCAAAACGCTAATAAATCATACAGAATGAGTTTTTTTGAAAATCTGAAATAGCAGAAAGTCTCCTGTGAGGGGTAGGTTTAGGGGTAGGGTTGGTGTAGGACAATA